AGAAGAGGTAGTTGCTTTCTAGCATCTAACTGGGTCGTTCTTTCTAGATTTCTTTATGTCTTGAGGGACAGTCTTGAAAATTGTAACACATTCCTAGCAATCTACAAAGCATCTGTGCTTGTGATATTTGAATTCCATTTTTTAAGCATTCCTTGTACAACACGCTGATCTATAACTGGCACAGAGAGGTTGCACAGCAAAGTAGTTGTCTTGTTTGTATCTTGGATGGGAGAGGGTTACATATTTGCTCTCAAACTTTTGTTTTCTCTGCTGGAGGTGACTAAGTCTTATCTTGTACAATGTAATCTCCATCTGTAGACTATATATTTCATTATTTCAACCAAGTGTGTGGAGTCCAAACGTTCTGGGTTTCGGGGAAAGATCAAATAACCTTGCTTTGTTGTTCTTTTATTTGCGTTTGGTTACTGTACTATTATATTTCTCAGTTCCATGTTAAAAGTATGCTGCCCTTTGATGTGAACTCCTGAAGGCAAATAAATTTGTATGTAATAGAGATTAAGACTAAAAACATCTTTCCTGAATTGTAGGGTTTCTCGTCTGTGTAACTGAACTTGCTTGGTAATTAGCTTAAATGTCTACACACAGTAGTACTGTGAAATTTGTCAATATGATTTTCTGTTACTAGCTGGCAATATTGTTTAGCAAAACTTTCCCCTTCCCCTTTCTTCCAACATATATGTAAGAGATTTTAATATTTTGCTATTATATTGCTAGAGATGCATTTTTTTCTTAAACTCTTCTATTAAAACTCTTGGTGATTAACTATGTGTTTCTTAATCGTTCAAACATGAAAACATCTTAATAATAAAGCAAGTTTTTCTAGCAACAGCAAGCCTAAGCTTGGCAGAAGTCAATTTTTGTTGTGGATGACTTATGTGCATGGAAAATATCTGTATGTTTTTGTTTTGGCCCAAGAATACTTAGTTTGGGGAATGGTACTAGAGATGTTTTCCAACACAAGGCAACTATTTCTGTCATAGCTTTTGCTGCTTTTGAACAGTAGACAAAATGTTTGGGGAAGAAAATGAAGGACTCTTCAATAAATGTTATGTTAGTATAATTGTGTAGATAAAATAACATCCTAGTAAAGACATACAGTTTCTTTTCACCATGAAACAGCAGATATTTGTATAGCACAAGAGGATCTTGCTCTGATTCTGCCTTTAAGGCTTTGTAAGTAATGGATGGCTGGGAGAAAAACTAGTAGTTAAAACAAATTTTTTAGTTATTAAAGCTTATACTTTTTTTCACTCTGCAGAAGAATAAAATCAAGATGATTGATTTAATTAATACAATTAAGAAATACCTGGAAAAGGGATGCTGTTTTGATGGAAGAGCTTAATTCGTCACCAGGGAATATCTGGAAATCATCAATGGTGTCTAGAGGCCATGAGGCCAAGACAAGAGCTCTTATATTTGCAACTGAAAGATGTTAAACCACTGGATGCTGCCATTCTAGGAACTATATTTAGTAATCAGTGCCCTAGTTTTTGCTCACTACTTGTGATTTGATACTGTAGCGTATAACATGAAGATCTCTAAGACAAAGGAGTACCATCAGTCATTAAAAAGATGTGGATATGGACCATGAGACATGGGATCACACATTCTTGGTAATGGATGTTCATCACTGGTGAAAACGCATAGCTACTGGTGGTGACTATGTTAACAAGTAATGTTTTGTAGCTGAGAATTTGCTCTATCAAGCAGTGCTATTGTGCTTTTGTATCTGTTGTAGTTTCCATGGAAATAAATTGGAGGCATTACTTTAAGAGCAACCCACATATAACTGAATTGGGAAATATAAGAAGAGATTTTGCTAGTTTTAGTGACCCAAGTGTTACTCAGTAAAAAGGTGAGGGAGTTTTTTGATGAGGAAGGGGAAGCTTTACGATCAGTTTGAACTCCTCCACAAAAACATAGCTTGCTGGCTGACCTTTCCCTTGGTCCTTCTCCTTGGAGAAAATAAACTGAAATATCTAAAACGCAAAGCCTAAACTATTATTTTAATTTCATTGCGTTGGCATGATTCTTCATAGTATACCTGTGTGCCATGTATGAATTAAATATTATATTTCCTTAACAATTTAGTGTCATTTAGTGTCGCCAAAACTGGTGACAGATCACCACCTGGAATATTTAAAAGTATTTATATATCTGTCAAACACTTATCAATTTAATCATCTGATTTGTCTGCATTTTTATGCAGCAGTGGTATCTAGTTGCATTGAGTTAAGTGAACTATAAATCTGCAGAAGTCTCCTATAATTCAATTTATTGTGAAGATGAAAATGTGTAGTGTGCTATGAAATGTTCATTAAGTATTCCCTTAGTCTTCAAAGATGAGAAAGTTTACAGTTAAACTTTAAAAATAGAGCAATTGTCAGTGTAAGGGTTCTGTTTCTACTGTTGCTGTGTTCAGATGATGTCAAAGCAATGGTGCGTTGCCGTTTTACAATTCTCTGCAGATTTCTTTCTCATCTGAATTTCATATTGAACTTAAACGTTGAACAAATGTGCGATTGGTAAGATATTTTCACATCTTCGAGTGTGAAGGATCCTTGGATGTCTCACAGTATGTAGTCAGGAGGACTAATCAGATTATTAATTAATGAAATAATGTCACTTAAGGTATGCAAGGGCTTTGATTAGACATTCCCTTGCTAAATGAACTAGGACAGCACCTAAGGATGTCTATACTGGGTCAGTGATTCTTGAAATATTAAGCTGTTTCTCTTTTACTATAGTCATCACTCCTCTACAGCTGTCTCTGTTCATTTCTTAGGTGTAAATTTAAGGCTGCTCTGATTTATGAATTAGTGTGCTGCTGACACTAATGGGAGTCAAAGCTCTAAGACTCGCATAAGAAGGTCAACATTTCTAACAAGAGAGAAAAATTAACCATTAAAGCAACTTCCCACAAAAAACTTGAATTAGTCATTATTTATATTGTATATGTGAAGATCATAAGTCATAAGCTTGATGCAGAGATTACTGCATGAGGTTATATTACGGCATAAGGTTTGATGGTTTAAAATAATATCTTACTTTCATGTAGTATTCAGATATTTAAATTCTAACAGGTAAGAATGGAAAAAAGAATAGTACACTTTTTTACATCAGTGTGCTCGTTAGAGAATTTTGCTAATTGTGAAATAATCTGATATGGAGGCCCAAAGGAGAAAACATGGAACACAGGCTATGTGAGGGCTTTACAGAAGCCTACTGGCTGATAGCCTTTACTTTCAGATAAGGATTCCACTGGTTTGAAACACCGAAACTGAAATGTGTTTGTAGATAAGTGTTTTGTACGTATCTCTTGGGCATAGACTGTAGCACTAAAATGACATAGATGAATCTTTTGCAAATGTTGAAAGATACGGAAAATACAATTATTTAGAATACAGTTTCTCTGGAGCGCTGAGGCTTTCACCTCTGCATAATTAAATTGTCACATCATGTGAACAGACCTCTTAGACCTCCTATTTTTGTCTTCAAAGCAATCTCTCTTGTATCACACAGAGGGTAAACATGCTTGCTTGAAGCTTTTGCTCTGAGTACTAAGCTGGAATGACCTTGCTTAGCTTGTGATATTTAATATCATCATAGCCAGAGCAGTAAGAACACAGTAACAAAGCAGAGTGCATAGAACTTAATTTTCAAATGTGATAAAATACAAGAACAAGAATTTTAAATAATGGGCTTTCTTATGCAATACTGAACATCCACAGAGTAAAGAATTGATGCCTATCCCAGTGCAGGGGGAGATCTAAGACCACAGAAGCTGCAGAAATTGTTGAATAAATCTGGCCAACAGTGGCTATTCGCCAAGTACTAGTGTACTTAGTGTACTAGTGCTACTGCACATTAACCACTAGCAGACTTCCTAATGGTTGATATATTTCTACTGACAAAAATAATGAATAAGCTACTATTGGAGTCAACTTTGTTTCCCCCAGCTATGTATGTTTGTCTGCCTGTATGTTTCCTCTCTCCTGTATGCTCCTGAGCAAGAACTAAGACTCACTGGCTACAGTGAAAAGGTAAAGGACAAAAACATAAATCTTTAAGCAACTGTGAAATAAATTTATCTCTGATTTAACAGAAAGTGAAAATCATCTTCTGTAATATCAATGGCAATTTTCTAAATGAAATGTTTGAACTAAACAGAAATATGGAGAGAGATGCAGTTGGTCACTTTGGCTAAACATGATTGATCTGGTCAGCAGAAACTATTCAATTTCTTCAAATGGTGCAAGTCAGTTAAATGCTTTCTGGAATCTGAAACTTACTGAGGCATACAAATATGGATCATATCAGGGTACACTTGCATTTATAATGTTCACATGCAAAGCAAGCCCCTACAGTGTGCTAAGCTGCTGCAGTTCTAAACTCCACTGCCCATGTGATGCAAAGAGGGTGAAACAAAGGCTGAAGAAGTGTATCACAAGTTATTTCCTTTTAAATTGTAGAGGACTGGGAGAAAAATGGACATCCAAGCGCTTACGTGGTCAGGTGCCTCACTTCAAGGATGAGTGCACTGTTGTTAACCCTTTTCAAAAGCTGCAGTACTGATAAGGTTAATTCTTCAACAGTACATTTGGGAAGGAGAAGCTGTTGGTGGCTGCAGAGAGAAACTACTACATTCATTCTATAACATAATTTGGTGAAGATGGGAAATATTAGTTGCCTACTACTCCATAGGCACTGCTAATTAGCACTACTAATCAGGATGGAAAGCTGCATAGCAGACCTCAAGCTTGAATCCAGCAGGAACAATTCTGTCTCAGAAAGGATAAACAAACAAACAAACAAACAAAAAAACCCTGGTAAAAAGGAGATACTTCAGATTGATAACCTAAAAGTGTAAAGCAATTTGTGTAAGCAGGAGAATAAAACGAGATCTTTAGATAATGTAACCAATCAAGATTAAAGCAATAGTGTTGGTTTAATGATTTGTTGTTTTTTTTTTTTTTTTCTTTTTTTAATTTAAAGAAAGAAGTTAGAATGACATAACCATGTTTCACACACAAAAGTTGCTCCACCGGGGCAGGTGATAATAGAGCTATCTTCAAGCAATAAATTGTTTTAACTTTAAAGAATAACAGCTGTATGGGTCAAACTGAATGTTTGCAAAGCCTATTTCTTGTTTTTTTACAATGATCAAAACTGATACTCAAGGAAAAGCATAAGATTATAGCACACACATAGAATAATTACTCTAGCTATGATCTCAACAGTTCTTAGCACAGATAATTCCACAGTGAAAATGATTTCTATTTACTTCATAGGCCTAAAGAAGCTTTCTTGATCAAGAATTGGTTACTCATTATTTCAACTCTTGTAAACTTTGAGCAGTGACTTACCTTAATCACATTTTAACTAGAGAATTGTCTCGTTTGTTTGTAGTAAACTTCCACTTTCTAGCTTTTATCCTTTCTAATTCTTTTACTGAAAGAGGCATTAATCACCAATCCCAATTCAGTGTGTTTGTGCCACGCATGTCTTTATGTACAGTAAGTGGTTTTACACAAGGGTGATTTCTCACATCATGGTTTCTGTTGTGGCATAAATGTACAGCATAGCTTTTAGGTGAGGCTTTTCCTTGTTTGAGATAAGCTGACAGTTGCAGGTTTCTAAGGCAAATAATGAAAGAAGGCTATATTCTGTAATGAGTTACTTGTAGGGTACATCTGTTTCCTTCCAAGATCAACAGTTTATGAGAGGTGGTTCCGTGTAATGGTTCTAAATTGCTATGTATCATGCTGAACTGGAACTTGCTAAGTCATATTTAGTCACAGATGTGATCATCTGATTCAAAGATGGTCTTTTCAACTAGCCAGTGAACAAGAGATTTAAAAACTTAAGGTTATGGTATGTACATTGCTCAGTTTACTGTGACAGTTGTTCATTAGCTCCAACTTACAATAAAGACATCCCTTTGGCTAATATGTACCACCTTTACATAAGAATTTTCAATCAATTTTTCTGATGGAAATTTCTGTTGACCCTATTTCATGCAGGAATTGCATGAAGGTGATTATTCACCTTCCGAAATCCTTTAAAGACAAGGCTGTCATGTGAGACAGTGTCAAATGTTTTGCACAAGTCCAGGTAGATGGCATTAGTTGATCTTTTTTTATCCAATGCTGTAATGCTATCACAAAGGTCACTAAATTTGTCAGGCATGATTTGCCCTTAGTGAAGCCATGTCGGCTGTCACCAATCACCTCTTTGTTTTTCACGTGCCTTAGTATAGTTTTTAGGAGGGTCTGCTCCGTGAATTTGCCAAGCACTGAGGTGAGACTGACTGACCTGTACTTATATGTTAGAGTTCACTTGTGGAAAAACATTTTGCTAGCAGAAGCACATTGTGAGGCCTAACAGGCAAGAAAATGGGAAAAAGAGGGTGCTTTGCACAAGCTACTAACATTGCTCTGGTTTTCTCATCTCTTTTCACTCTCCATCCAACAAACTGAATATGATAGGTAATCTGGCCATAATTTGTACTCTTCTCTTTTTAAAAATAGTTTTTCCACCGTAGTGAATGACTATACTGTAAGTTAGTGTACAGCATCAGTTGAATGAAGGCCATGTACTTACCTGCATGATCACTTTTGCATAGAAATGCTGTTAGCTGTCCGGAAATCTGGAACATAGAGAATGCTTTTACTTCAAATATTTCTTCTGGTCTTATTTGCAATTAAACACAGAGTTTTTCCTAATTTTTTTTTCTGCTGATTCATTATTGACTTAATTTGTATTTCAGTGTTAAAGTGAATTATGCTTCTTTAACTGTCTTTAAATGAACTACCTTTGCAGTGGTATTTTTAGATGAACCTTTTGATACCTTTTTAATGGTACATTAAAACTTAATGAATGCTGAGTAACAGTGGAATCACTATGGAAGCACATGTGGTATCTGTATTAATACTGAACGAATGCATAATGATCAGTAAAATTTGCGTGATTTCCACATGAATCAACAGTGATGAGCTACTTAGTGGCTCACTCAATTACATCATGTTTAATTTATGTAGCATTATTTGGACATTATGTTTAAAATGTCTTTAGTAAATCATTGAGACTCTAATTGAGTCTCCATTCCAGTGAGAAATTACACTGTAAATATTAATTTCAGTTTTTTACTCAACAATTAATTTGTTGAAGCCTGTTTGCAAAGGGTCAAAATTTAATATATTATTCTCTGAAAAATGGAATCCCAGTATGAAAACAAATTACAATACCTGTTAGATTACTTCTTTTTCCTTCGTTATGCAGCAACTGGACACTGGAAAAGTATTATCTCTCTGAGCTCTGGAAATAATGGCAATACCTCAGTTGTTCTATATGACTACTGCCACTACTGTGGCAATTCACCTTCATTCAGCAGACTCAGAATTCACTCCTCTTGGGAGGCCCTTCTAGTATGTTCCTTACTCACTCTGCATATAGAGTACAGCAAGGTGGACCAAGAGCTTTGGGAGTGTGATCATGCCAGCAGCAGCCAAAGAGGGAGGGAATGTACAGAAAATGTAGATGCTGTCTTTCAACTTTTCTCTCAATATCCGTCTGAGCTTATATATGGTGTCCTGTGCAGGATAAGGAAAAAAACCAAGTATTCCCACTGTTTTGATTACCTGACAGCCTCTGCAGATAAACTTAATCTTGTCTCATTTCCAAAGCATTACAAAAGTGTGAGGACCCAAAACCTCACTTCATTTTTCCTGGTTTACATTGCAATGGACTGAACATGGGCAATTGCTACCCAAGCCCTGCAGTGAAGGTTCTATAAAAGGCTGCCAGTGGCAAAAAGACTGGCAGCAGCTGTAGTCCTTCACTGCAGTACTGCTGAAGCAACAGACTTTGCAGCTACACAGGGCTGAGACTTACCAGAGGATGCCATGCAAGGCTCCATCTTTACAGACTGTCTCCACACCAAGATGTACAGACATCCAATTCCCAAGAGAAAAACAAAGAAACAAGCAAAAAGACAACCAAGTAAATAATTTTTGTAAGGGAAAAGTGTAAGTAAAATAATCACCTAATCATGCTTCAAACTTCACTAGGAACAGTAAACCCCTGCTTGGCTTTCATCTTTTCCTGTCAGGTACTTATATAGAAGACAAGCTTCTGAGATACCATTTCAGTGGATCTATGCTTGAGCTGGCTTTGCAGATGATCCAAGGCAGGTCCATAGATATTCATTTACAGAGAAAGGCTGGGGTTGCCTATTTTACTCGGCTCAGTTAAACAATGATCTGAATGTGTCTGATTTTTGGCAAAAATAGCCTAGGTCTCCCACTACTCCAGAAGGAATCTTGCACTCTATTCTCTCAGGTTACTCCTTACAAGTATTTCAGGCCAATAAGTTTTTATTAAGAGCCATTTTAACCTTCTCCCTCAAACAGCTCTTCAATACATCGTAAGCTTGAGAGGTCAGTTTTCAGTTCTGAGAGGCTGTCTTGTCTAACTGCCTCAACAAGGAGGACTTGTGGACAGAGAACAGGGTTTGGAGACAAAGTCCTATCAGCTATTTACAAATAAGTCCATCACTGTATTTTTAGCTTCTGCAAATTTCGTATGCTAGCTGCTAGCATTAGGCACTGCATCCAGTTGATTCGGTTATAGAGAATTTATCATCTGTGAATACATGAAACTATCATTTTAATCTGGTTCTTTTTGATTTACTATGAGACAATCTGATAACTGGAAAGGCATCTAGCAAACAGCTGACCAACAATTTTGGTAGAAGAAGTGTGGAGAAAAAACTTTATAATGATAGCAATCATAACAATAGCTGTTCTCATTTCTCTGGATTGCTGAAAAATGCAAATTCAGACCTTTAATAATTGCAGCTCAGGCTTTCATTTCTGACAGCAAAGTGAAAGAGAAAAAAAAATCTTTCCATCCTAGGAAGATGTAAAAGAGGCTATCAGCTCCTTTAAAAAAAATCACTTCATTTTGTTAGAAGAATTTAATAAATTAAGAGAGAAAAAATACTTATGAAGAACCTTTTCATTTTGCTTTAAAATGTCTTTTTTTTCATTTATGTTGATCACTTCAATGACTCTGTTCTCATGATTTGGGAATTCTGTGCTGTGCTAATTTAATTCAGCTTTAATTTGAATTGAACAAAATATTGGCTAGTCATCTAACTATGATGAAAAAATACACATACAGCTTAAACAAAGTGTTTGAAATATACAAAAAAATCTGTAATACACTTCAATATACACCTAATAGATTTTAATGGTATAATTATTTCTGATTTGTTATGTAGCTATATATATTTTAGAGACTGCTGTGTAGAATGTATTTTAAAATAAAACATAATGAGGGTATAATACTATATTCCTTGAAATAACATTAATAAAAAAAATGTTACAAGAAAATGATGGAATGTATGCCTTTGACTACATGGTGACTTCACAAACATACTTCACAGCAAATTAGACTTCCTTCACTGGTGTTGTGGTTACAATGATATAATTCATGTTTCATAACTCTGAAGAAATAATGAAGGCATTGTAACCAGAAATGTGTCAATTTGAATAAATTTATTATGAATTGCTTTGGTTTTAAAAGCTCCCAATATGTTATAATAGAAGCCTACGTCCTTGCTTGAGAGGCAGCCAAACTATCTGTAGAAAATGGGTTTTTAATGTCTTAAGAAATTACTTAGTGGTAAATTTTCCTTTCAAATAAGTAAAAGGAGAAATGTTCTGTAAATGCTATCCTAATAAAAGGGATTGGAATATACGTTTCTTTTAAAGCCACTTTGAAAGAAGACTGGTGTCATATTTAGATGGTAAATTCTTACTGCTCATGGAAACTCAAAACACTGTGGAAACTGTACACCCATTTTTGCCTGAATCTAAGTTGCAATAAAGCAAAACAGCCCGTGCAAAAATTAACCCTATTCACTGATTGGTGAACTGCATTAAATTTGTGCTGAATGCAATACACCATGGGCTACTTCCAGGTATACTGAAAAATAGCTACTCCCAATAAAATCACAAAGGCTCATGGAAAGTAAATAATAATTTAGGCAAGGCACCTAATATGCACCACGTTTGAAGGCTGTTCTGAAAGTAATGCCTCCTGTTTCACTATGTTGGTTCACAACATAATATCTCCTGTTTTATTATGTTGGCAGATGTTGATGGTGGTATGGCAATAGAGGTTGAACCTTCCCACCAATACTCTATTACATTTTATGTGACACATGTAACAGAGGGGCAGTCTGACAAAATGGCATCTGACATGGAAGTGTGTATGAAATGAAGGTGTGTCAATGAATTCTTCCATGCAGAAAAAATGGCACCCATTGACATTCACCGATGCTCGCTGAACATTTCTGGAGACCAAACAGTAGATGTGAGTACAGTGAGGTGGTGGGTGGTGCGTTTCAACAGCAGTGTCAGTGACATGAAAGATAAACCACGTTCCAGATGGGCAAGCAGATTTTTATGAGTTCAAAACGCAGGCTCTTGTTCATCGCTGCTGAAAATGCACAGATAATAGGGGAGACTATGTTGGAAAATAATGTTTTGTAGCTGAGAATTTGCTCTATCAAATAGTGTTATTGTGCTCTTTGTAACTGTTTTAGTTTTCATGGAAATAAGTAGGAGGCATTACTTTCAGAGTAATGTATGTATGTTTGAATGATTAGGACGTTTCAGTGGCACAATCTGGCTTTTCTGATTTCTTGGCCAGAGGCCTATGAAATTTTCCTATTTGCAATGTTAACATTAGTATTATTCAAAAAAAAAAAAAAAAAAAAAAGCTTTTAAAATAGACTGGCTATTGAACAACTCCAGAGCACTGCTTCAATAGACCTGAAAGCAAAGGAAAATATACTTTGTATTTGCAGCTCAATGCAGAATCACCTTTTAGACCAGCCTTAGAGATTACTGTCAGGAGTACTGAAGTATTAATATATTTTGCCTTCTTTATTTTTAGAAAGAAGAAACCTTTATAGTTATAAAGGAGGATGGCCTGATTGCTAGAGTACTAATTTTGGACTTGGGAGTTTGCATTCCTTGCTCAGCCACAAATTCCACTAGATCTTTTGAAAGTCACTTAGCAAATTAATTGCACTGTCAAATTTGAGTTACTTAAGTCAGGAGAGACTTCTCCCTAGTTTTCCAGTGTAGTCACAGGATACAAAAAGTTCTTCTGGAATGGCTGTCAACACTAAGAGCCATAGTTGCTTTTAGTCGAACTCTGGAGTTCTGTCTCTCTCCCTGTGTTAAATCACCTCACTGCTCTGGTATCATGTGTAAAGTCAGATACTCTAAATACCTACTTACTGCTAGTTTTTAAAGACATTCGGGCACATAAAAGTGCAAACATTTACTCATCTACATGAAGGGAACAAATGCACAAAAATGTTAGGTGTAATGATTTTGTGATAATTATGCTCATAATAAGTGCTGAGGTTGTTGTTACATTGTGTTCCTAAATTTTCCATGAATAACTTTTTAATGTAAAAACTTCCAACTGCTCAGCACAATGCTTTTAAAACATGAACAGTGTGTTTCTTTTTAAAGGTTTATTCCATACTATACTCCCTGAATATGGATTTCTTGGAAAAACTTTTCAGACAGAGCAAACACCGTTTCTTTGTGTTAACCTTGTGGGATTTATTCATCACAAAGAGTCCTAAATGCCCTATCAGGTGATGTATTAAGATAGTGGCAGATACTATCCAATATTTGCAGTACCTTAGGAATTCCAGCTGGTCAGATAAATGTTTGTTTGTTTTACTTTCTGTTACTTGGGAGCAGTGTAATTTCTGCATCGTTAAAGTCCAGCAAAGCTTTCCAGAGACCATTTTCAAAGCATTTTAAATTGCACAAGCACAGGTATGTTGATTTAAAACTGCTTTGCTGTGTTAGGCCTGGTGCAAATTTGTGGGTGCAAATCTGGGCTATGTTATTCTAATGACTTTTGAAGAAAAAAAAATTGAAGAAAAAAATTAGTAGAATTTCATTTAGTTTCATAAGTTCATAGACAATGCATATTGTGAGCTGCATGTTGGAGAAGCAGAGAAGAAACATTGTTTCTTCTCTGTAAAATTTAGCCACCTAAACACAAGTCTCTGCTGCCATATTTAGTGTCCAAGAATAGCTAAAACACACACTGGGCTGTCACATATGACAGTGGATGAACATGAAACTCATCTCTCCCTAGGACAAGGTAGAATAGGTATCTAAATTAGTAGTAGAAGCCTGCATTTAGGTAGATGAGTCACTGTACATCATTTTTTTCCAAAATACATAATTCATTTTGACTATAAATTTCTTGTACCAAACTTGTACTTTGATAGCAGAATTTAAATACTAACCTATGTGAGTCTGACCACATATATATATATATTATTTTGCCCCAAATAGCTCCACATCTCCCTTCCCCCTCATGTGTATCAGAAGGTAAGCTTTTGTATTGTTGCTTCAGAGTCCTTGGTAGCAGCTCACAAATGGCTGGGATTTAGGAATGGTGTGGCTGTATGTAAAAAGGTCTCCTTTTAGCACTACCTCCCTTGGTGGTTTGGTTTGGTTTTGTTTGTTTTACTTAATGCTTGTGTTTTGTTTCCCCATCTACAAAATGACTACTGTTAAAAGATCTTTAATCTGATCTCCCAACATGTCATCTCACCTGAATTTCTGTGCTCCGGATTAACACAAGTGGTCTCAGACAGAGTACTAACATGCACCCTTCCTTCCATAGTAAATATATGTTTGCGTACAATATTCTGACGATACAAACGGCCAGAAATTGTGTTTTCTCTTTGTATAAGGTAGAGTTCTAGAAAAGAGGATACAAAAAGTATCAGTAATACTCTACTGTTGTGAAATACTACTTTTAAAATTTAACTACATATTTTTTCAGCTATGTGATATTTAAAGTTGTTCACTGTTCGGAGTATTTATTCCAGAGGGACTAAGAAAACATTAGTTATCACAAATGTATCCAAGGGATTAATAGGAACAGAGAAATGTATTCAAATAAAACTGTTTCTTCCACTGCAATACTGTAATTACAAGCATTTGGCAGTGCCATTAGTTCCCTGACACTTGACAATTCTCTCCCACAAATAATAACCGTGGCAGTATATTATGCAGTTCATCCATTCATAACTACACAAAAGATTACATGTAGCCCACTGGATTTAGACCTGTTAGATGAATGCTTATTGAACGTAATCCATCCACATGTAACATTCACCTGGATCTTTCACGCTTCTATTTAGAATGGAACTTTGTGCCCTAAAGATTTTCAATGTTGGCCACTGCAAATCACATCAGCTAGTGTACAGTCTATTGTAGATGCTGCTGAATGATTGTTTTCATACAACTTTAGACTGAGGGAGCAGAAGCCGGTATGTCATTTTGTCTGACCTGCATCTGACAGCCCCTGCATAACACCCAGTCAGCCCTATACCAAACCTCAATTTTCGTGTTTAGCTACAAAGACCTATTTCTAAAATCATTAGCTCTCGTTTTGTTTTGATTGATCATCCTCAAAACCCTGCAATGAATTTAATTCTGTTCTTGTGTTGCAGTTCAAGAGGACATTCCAGCGGGGAGATATTCTGGTCTGAGGACAAAGCTGTCACAGGAAATCACAGAACTTGCTATTGAAAAAGCAAACATTGTTGTCAAAGCTAGAGGTAAAATCCACCCCTAAACTCAAGTTTCTTACAAAAGTACACTTAAGTATTCACACTTTTCAATGGGGAAAAATCCCAAGCCCAAACTAAGTAACAAAACACAGCACAAGTCTGCTTCTTGATAGTAAGTGTAGAAGGAGAACATTAAGTCGGGGGAAGCATTACTGTGCTGTGGTTTGTGCAAGCATGCATACAGGAGGGAGGTTTCAGATTAGTTTGAAGAGCAGCTTCTGGAAACTACTGGGCTCGGCATTACTGATTTAATCCCTTGGAACCTTTTCCTTATCTACAAAGAGAGATACACATTTTAGCAGTAATTCTAAACCTAACATTCAATATCAGCTATAACAACGGGCAAAACAAAACTCCTACAAAACATTCAACCACAGATAAACTTTCAAAGAGTTATGCATGACTGCCAAAAAGTTAACTACTGATACCTCTGAGTGTTCATGGGATAAATTTGGCTCTCTTGAAGTACTGCTCAAACAGATGGGCCAATTGTCAAAGCTAAAATGAGCACCCAAAGTGCTCAAGAAGGCGCAATGACAGCACCACGGTTCCTGATTTCAGGACCACAAGGAAGAAAACTTAATGCGTATTCAGCATATTCTGAGTGCATTGATACAATGAAGTCACAAAAATTACAGCTGGAAGAGGAAACACTACACTGTAAGTAGTAGAGATAAGACTTGAACATGGTTATAGCCTTGCACTGTAAAAATGAAGCTACTTATGTTGGCTCAACCTAGTAGGTTCAGTAGAAACAATTCTTTGCTATTGCTTCGTTGACACAAGATGGTGTAAAGGTGTGGTACTGATTTTCTATGCAGAACCATCTTTAAGAAATTATAGTCACATTTTTTAGACAAGTTTAATAAAAAATCAGACAAAATACTTTGATTAAAACAAGGGGTAATATTTGGAAGGGGGAAATAAAAAAAAATCCAATTAAAATCCTTCACAATTTTTAGAGATAATCACAGATAGTTTGGATTTTTTTAAACTTTGTCAGTAATAACTGTGAAAGTTTACTCTAATTAAAGGCATAATTTTATCATATTAATCAAGTGCTGTGGTTCTAAATAGCATATGGGCTTTTGAGAACTGAAGAGCTTGATTTTCTGAAAGTGGGGTGCATACTGAATAGCTTGAATCTGTTTTTCAGGATGTATTTTTAATTTTACTTGAGAAACACCTGGATCTCACTAGGATAATAAAAAACTGACATTTTTTAGAGAGAAAACAAACCTACTGAGTTGAAGATTGAAGAACGCCCAGACTTTAGGCTTTGAGGAAATGTAAGTCTTGGCTTCTGCAGTAGAATAGCCCTCATTCTAAGTATCAAAAAGTAGACTAGGCAGCTTAGGTATGTTCATGACAAAAATGAAGCCAATTCACCCAATTCAAGAAGTATTCTGGTGCTGGGACTTAGCAGAAATCTGCTAGCCTTTTATTACCAGCAGTGTTAGTTGTTCGTCCATCACTGGGTTTGTACATGTTCAAAGAGAGAATTAAAATGTTACTCTCAAACAGAGTCCAGGTCAAATGCTCTCATATTTCTTCAGTGAAACTCTGGCAATATCTCTTACAGCTGTTCGAAAGGAGAAAGTAAGGCAGAAGAAACTAATTCCACATTCTCATCTACACAATGCTTCCTATGCTATGCTGAAGCATTCCCTTAGGTCTTCCTGTGCCTCAGCTTTGTGATGACTGCATTTTCTCGTTTGTGCACAGAAAGCAGAAGGCACAAGGATGGTCTACAAGAAGACTGTTTCTTAAATTACTACATTCAAGTGAAATTATAACAGCATTTCATTTTTTTAAAAATCTTTTTATACAAGAGGCCTTTTGCTGCCGTAACCTAGCAAAGTTATTTTGAAGCAAGTAAATATTTATTTGATAATATTCTGTGTTGTTCTGTTTACTTTCCATTTAAAAACAATTACGTGATGAAGCCTAAAGCACAAAAGTCTACCATGTACATCAATTTGTAGCTATAAAATAAGTTGTCCAAATAGGGTGAAAACCTCAAAACATACTTTCCTTTCCTGGTTGAACTTTTTAAAACCTGATAGCTGCTTGAAGGTTCTTATCTCTTCCTGAGCCCAGTTTTCCACCCAGAACACACACATAGTTGTCCTTCCTCCTAATCTTCTGAAGAAAGTGAGGCTTTGTATGCTACATACATATTTACAAGCAAATCAGTGGGACAGAATTAGTCTGGCCTGTGCAAATGTATAAAAAGATAGCTCTTAGCAAGCAACAAACAAATCAAATCAATCATCTGACAGTGTAAAATTCCGGATCCGTTTGCCAGTCTCTGTATATAAGAATTCTCAATCAACTCACACTTGTGCTTCTGCTGTCAGCAGAACACAGAATGAACTGTTCTGAAGACAAGGGATCCTTAGTTTCATTGAAAAAAAAAAAAAAAGTCCTGCAAAATCATCTGCAACTCAGCTAAAATGAAAACTGTGATTATTGCTTCTATTTCAGGAAAAAAAAGCATATCATCTTTCTCCAATTCAAAATTTTGGCTCGTGTGTGAGGATTTCTTCAGCGGGCTCAGGAAAACAGAAGAACACGTTTATCCCAAAGCACCCTCTATTCGCACCAGTCGGAGATGTCCGCTCCGCTGCTGAGCGAGCTGAGGAAAATCAGGTTTCTACACACAGCTGTTTCTGCCAGGGCTTGAGCCCAACCTCTGAATTATTTTACCTTTCTATCCTATTCAAAGGCTTACGTGATGTTACGCATTCCGCTTCGTGCTGTGAAACTGTTCTTCACGCAGCGAGGGGGTATTTTTATTGAGTAACAGGACACGAACAGCCGCGGAGCCGCCGCATGGACGGCATCGCGCGCAGCTGAAGCGGAGCCGGCGCTTCCCCACGAGCAGCAGAGCTGCCCGCACCCTTCCCGCGCTGCGCCGGGGAGCCGAGGCCGAGCGCGCGCCCTCGGCCCGGCTGGAAACGCAGCCCTTCCCCAGGCCGCTGATCGGCGTTAAGGTAACGGCTTCATTTCCCGGCTTCGCTCGCTCCGCGTTTCTGCGAGGCGTCCTCGTCAATTCCCGACCTCGCAGAGGCACCGGGCAGCTCGGCTGATGACCTGCAAGGCGCTGGGAACGCTGCCGGGCGGGCCGGCCGCAGACGGCGGCAGCGGCGGGTCCCACCGCGGCACGAGGGGCGGCCGAGGCGCCGCAGACAGCGATGGGGGAAGCGTTACCTCAGCGACCGGGCGCAGAGGCCGAGCCCCGCGGCGGGCGGTACCCCGGGCCGCGGCCGCCGTCGGGCGTCGCTCGGCCGCGCGCCGCCCCTCCCGCAGCGACGGCCCGTCCCGATCCCGATGCGCCGAGGGGGGCGGCCGACGCCGGGGCCGCGCACCTGCCCGCGCCGCCCG